CTTGCGGTTGCCAGTTGTTGGGCCAAAGAGCCGACAACCACCCACTTGGGCCATCGGTTACAACTGCAACCGAGGTCCACCTCAATCGATCACAAAAAAAAAAAAAAAAAAAAAAAGGCATCGGTTGTTTGGGTCTACTCTTGCGGTTGCCGGTTGTTGGGCCCAAGAGCCGACAACCGTCCGCTTGGGACATCGGTTACAACCGCAACCGAAGTCCACCTCAACTGATCACAAGAAAAGCCCAATTCACCGGTTACAGTTGCAGGTGGGCTCGAGCATTTTTACGGTTGCGGCTCTAAACGCCCAGCCCTATGCGTGGTCGTTGGGTGCGGTATAATGTGGTACTAAGAGCCTAGCTTCTATGTACCAAGTTATTATGATCAATTTTACCTTTTTGGTAATCTAAATTCATAAATAGTGAAAAATGATGTAATCTTGCCATGTGATGCGTGTGAACGCTGTGTAAAATTTTTTCCTACACCATCCCCATTTCTGTTTCCCCTTACTCCGAATTCCCTTTGTAAAAGAAAAATATGGTGAAAAATGATGAAGCGCCTAGCTTCTATGTACCAAGTTATTATGATCAATTTTACCTTTTTGGTGATCAAAATTCAAAAATAGTGAAAAATGATGAAACAAAAATAATTTGTTGATATACAGATAGACCGAATAAAAGAAATAAATTGTTTATTAGTAATTTAAAATTAAAATAATAATAAAAACAATAATTTATTAACAATCTTTATTGATATTACGTTCTTATATGATGTTATAGTAATTTTTTTGCTCTTTTCCATTGGAAGGCACATGTAAATTAATATTTATCCACTCATTCAAGATCATCTATGGTAAAAATTTATATATTTCTAAGATAATGGTAACAAACAATAATTGTTTTATATATATATATATTATGAAACAACATGAAAGTGAATGAAACAAGAACTAGAAAGAAGTTGGAGAATAATATCAACATGAAAAAAGAAAGCTAAACTTGTATTTTATTTCACAAAAATAGACTTATTTATAACATGAAAAAATTGTGACTCTTAAAATAAAAATTTATTATATAATAATTCTATAAGTAATTTCTATTTATATTATAATTCTCATACGTTGATAATTGTTATATGCAAATATCAGCTAATTCTAAAGAAAAGAAACTCATTAGTCATATGTTAGTTATGAATTAAAACTCTCAAGAAATAATTACTTCTATTGGTGGACAATTGAAATTGCCAAGAATATTATTGTTTTTGTTGGTGGCAAAATGCTGCAACAATCAATTTTATAACACTTCTCCTTACATGTTTATCATTTTATTATATATTATTAAAATGTTTCATTAAAAATCTTGTTAAGCAAAGGAGAAAAAGTGCAACGCATATGATAATACTCCCTCTCAAATTCAACAAATATTTTTAATTAGGCAGTTTAATGCTAATTTTGTGTCTCAATTTCTCAAAAACTCTAATAGGTAGTGATTTTGTAAAGAGAATCACTTGAACAGATCTAATAAAAGATTATTTCATTTCTCATTAAAAATTTATGCATAGAAAATTACTTTAATGATATATACATTGATTCCAATAATTGATATTAAATTAATACTGGCCTCAAGTATTATAGGTGCGATTGTTTTAGTGTTTAGAAGGTAGCTAATTGTTGGTGGCTCCTAAACAACTATTTAAAGGTATTTTGGTAAGTTTTTTTAATAAGAAGATGTGAATCAATTAACAATTATTGAGAATATAAACAGTCACAAAATAAACAATTACCAAAGTTAGTTGTTTGAGTTAAAACCCTACTTTAATTTTTTGGTTAAATCCTTAATTTGGTCTTTAAGTTATTGTATGGATCCCTGATTTGGTCCATAAACTAAAAAAATTCTTGATTTGATCCCTAAACTGTTGTACGGAACCCCAATTTAATCCTTATTATTTATCAATTTATCCCAAGTTAGTCATTCTATACAAAAACCAATAGACGTATTTTGTTATTAACATGACACGTAACTGTTAAGTTACTGTTTTTTATCGTTAAGTAATAAACACGTCAACTATTTTTTGTACAAAATGACCAATTTAAGACAAATTGATAAACAGCAAAGATTAAATTAAAAGGTTGTACAATAATTCAGAGACCAAATTTAAGGGTTTAACCTAATTTTTTTACCCTCTTTTATTTGTCCAAGTATAACCCTAACAATATTTCTAAAATCTTTGCAAGAACCTTGCGCAACATTCCAAATTTTAGAAAAAAATTGTGGAGAAAGAGGAAGAGGGAGATTAGAGGTGAGATTCAAAGGAAACAATAGAGCATTGAATGCTTTAGGAATTAATGATGCTGACTTGTGATTGACGTCAAACGAATCAACAAAGACCAATGTACTTCGGTAACGAGAAGCAATTGTGAGGGAGAGAGAGGACAAAGAGGATCGAGGAGGGGAAATTGAAGGATAAGGAACAGATCTATTAGAGGTAAAAATGGAAAATTAAATATAATCCACACTTATTCTCATGGGGGAGGTGGGATACAATTCACGTAGTCCACTTAAAATAGGATATTAGATGGGATAAAACATCATCTCATCCCTTGACTCTTCCAAACATTGGTTACGGTAAGATTGGACGTAAAATTTATCCAATCCGGTAACATATCTGACGCTTCAAATGTATTATTACGATATAAGTTAGAAAATTTTATTATTTATTATTTTTTGTTATTATTATAAAAATAAGAAAAAAAAAAAAGAAAACTTATTTAACAAACTTAAAATATATCTTTAATAGTAATTTAACTTTAATAAAAACAATTATGAGCTCTATTACTAAACATTAATTATAAATAATGACAAATATTAATTATTAATTATCGACTATCAATTATCATCTATTGTATAAATTTAAACTACTAATCCAAACCCTATGTTCCTTGCTAAAAATATAAAAAATGTGAGTTGAATTTTTGTAACATTAAGTTAATATTTTTATCTTAGATTTTATTTTTTGAAAATAAACAACATGAATTGCTAACAGTGAAGAGTAAGTGGCGCAAGTGGCCTAGTGGAATGAGTATCTTTTTTTTTTTTTTTTTTTGCATTCAAATGTTTGTATTGCTTTGTTTATTTTA